GCCAAGTATCGAGGTCCTAAACCATTTAGGGCCTTATAGGTAAGCATTAGAACTTTGAAGTCAATGCGGAAACGGATGGGCAGCCAGTGCAGTTTAGCCAGAACAGGAGAATATGTTGGTGTTTTCTCACTCCAGTGAGGAGTCTGGCCACTGCATTCTGCACCACCTGAAGTTTCCGCATCAGCCTCAAAGGTAGCCCCACGTAGAGCATGTTACAGTGGTCTACTCTTGAGATTATGAGCGCATGTACCAAGGTAGTGAGCACCCCCATGTCAAGGTAGGGTCGCAGCCGGGCAATCCGCCAAAGGTCATTTAGTCATTATTCCTATAAAAACTGGCTACCAAGAATCCAGACCCTATTATGGGGTCCCTTTCACAAGCAGCAGCCGACAGAAGTCCAAACCCCCGGCTCACTTGTCTCCAGATGAGGCAAAACAGCAGCGGGGGAGGGATGCCTTTGCTGGGGGGGGGCAGAAGCCATGGGGTCGATCTTCATCTGTGGGTGGGAAGGAGACTCTTCCCCCCCTCCCTAATTGCTCCGTCCTGAGGAAAACCTTGAGTGGTGAACTGGAAGAGATCCAGCCGGGGGAGGGGGAGGGGTGGGGGTTTGCCACCCTTTCAAGGGAAGTGGCTGCTGCAGTGAACCTGACGGGAGGGAAGCGGCTGTGTGATGCAGGACAAGAACCCAGTCCTTGATGAGGCACAATCTCTCCATCCTCTCCTCAGTGCCCTGGAGGCTTCGCCGCCCTCGTTTATCTCTCTGCTTAATCTCTGAATGAGGCTCTCCGACATGTTGTTCATTCACCTTTGCCGCCAGCTTGTGTTTACAAGGGCCAGCTCTCCGCCTCGTGAATGCCAAAAAGGAGACCGTATTTCACAGCCTCTTGGTTGTTTGATGGGCCGAAATGCTCCGGTTGGCACAAGCAAACGTTCTGCTTGGAAAGAGGCTTTCTGTGTAGAATTTCAGGCACATCCCCAAAGCCCTGTTCATGAGTAGGACCCAGCTGTTCCATAGTTCCCACAGCTGGTCCATTTTTCTCCAGCTGTCCAATGAATCCTAGAATCATGGAGCTGGAAGGGGCCTCTAAGGCCATCCAGTCCAACCCCGTACTCGATGCAGGAATCCCAATCAAAGGATATCTGCCAGGCAGCTCTCTAAATTTCTCTTGAAGGCCTCCGGCGTTGGAGCACTCACCACCTCTCGAGAGAATTGGTTCCATTGCTGTACTGTTCTAACAATTAGGAAGTTTTTCCCGATATTCAACCGAAATGTGGCTTCATATAACTTGAGCCCATGGTTGCATGTCCTGCACTGTGGGAGGATCGAGAACAGATCCTTCCCCTCCTCTCTAGGACTGCCTTTCACATCTTCGAAGAGGGCTCTCCTGTCCCTCCTCAGTCTTTTTTCTCTCAAGGCTAAACAGGCTGAGCTCTTCCCGTCTTTCCTCGCAGGGCTTGGTTTCCGGTCCCCTGACATTTCCATGGCCCGCTTCGCAGCGTAGGGAGCTTAATGTGGCTCCGTGAGGATGGCACTAAGTATGAAGGCGAAGGGACCCCTTCAGCTTTCCTGCATGCCCACCCACAGAACTATGTCCTCCCCTCCCAGGCGGATGCCCCGCTGCTCCTTTGCAAGGCTGCTGATGGCACCCAGAAGGGAGGCATTTCCACTGACCCGGGTCTTCTCGGGGAGGGGGCATGAAGGTAGCATGAAAGAGGACTCACTTGATAACCCTACTAGATTTCCACTGCCCCTCCCCATCCCACAAGACTGTGGCTTGGCCTTGGGAACGGCCCCGCTTTGTTCTTTTGCAATGGAGGGATGAGAGGGTCCAGGCTCCTCTCTTGCAGCAAAACCCAGCGAGGAGCTTAGTGGCCCCCTCAGGGCCTCAGGCAGCCTCCTCTGTTGAGCTTTGCGGAGTGAACCTTCCCACAAGCATTGTCATGGGGGGAGAGAGAGAGAGTGATGTTTGTGTCGGCCTTGCTACTGCAAAGTGGAAAGTGGGTTTCTTCCATGGAGACGCACACACAACGGAAGCCCTTGGCGTGTGGCGGCCACCTAGGTCACTCTTGGCCCTGGAAAGGTGGCAGCCTCATTGTAGGAGATGGTGGTGCCCTAAGAAAGGATGTTTCAGAACAGGGGAAATTATGTTTGGGACGTGGCTTTTCCGAAAAGGGACGTTTGAAGGCCAGACGCCCAGCCGTGCTGAGCTGGGCAGCCACATTTTGCCTCAGGGAGGTGCTGCTGGCCTCCGTCAAGAGCCGCAGGGGAGATGGGCTTTGGGTTCTGGTGGAAGTGGCACGATTCCTTCCCTTTTTGGTCTGCAGGGCAAGAAGCAAGATGCTCCTCGGGAGGAACAGGGGCCAACGACCCAGAATCTGGACTTCTGGACGCAGCTCATCACCCTCATGGTCACCATCATTGATGAAGACAGGACTGCCTACACGCCGGTCCTGAACCAGTAAGAGAAAAGAAGGAAGGCCGTGGGCCACGCAGGCTCCCAGCTGGTCCCTTTCCTTTCAGAAGTGGGTGCCAGTTGGCTCTTCAGAGGCTGGGAGGCAGAGCGGGTGTTTCTCCTTTCCTGAAACCAAGAAAACGGCAGGCCTTTGGCTAGGCCGTGGGGTAGCTCTGGCTAGTGACCTGGTGCTGCTCTGTCAATTCCCCCTCATGATGGCCAACAAGGAAAGCTTGTGGCTTCCCCAGAGAAATGGGCCAGGCAAGCAGAGAGCGGGAAGCCCCCCCCCGCCGTGGAGCAGCTTCAGGGGAGTCCAGAGCTGGGTGCCCGCTGGGCGTGAAGGGGCCCTGGGGTCCCAGGCTGGCAACGCACCTGCTGCCCCCTTGGAGCAAGGCCCCAATCCCCCAACGGCTGTGGCTGCACCGGGCAAGTGAGGGATCCTCCTCATGTTCCAGGGAATTAAGACCAGCAGATAAAGGCAATCTCTGGATAATGTCAAATTTGCAAACCACTTCTGAAAGCAAAATAATCCAGAGAAGATTATCTAGCTTTAACTCCTGGGAAAGGCACCGAAGGCTCTTCCTCTTGCTTCTAGGGAAGCCAGGGTGGCCGGGAAAGGGGATGTGACACAGGCGATTTCCGGGCAAACCTGAATGGCCCCTGAACAGAGTGGCCCTCACCCTGCCTGGTCCCCCAGACTGTCCTCGCAAGACGTTGGCCTCCTCCCTGGGTGGCCACGGGGATCCTTGGCCGGCTTTTCTCGAGGCAAAGGAGCAGGCCGACCCCAGCCTCTTCGCCTCTGGCTCCTTTGCTTCCTCCCGCAAAGGACCGAGTCACACAAGCAGACCTTCCTCCCTGGATGTGTGTGTGTGTGTGTGTGCGCGCGCTTGGAAGTCAGAGCTGCCTGGGAGGAGAAACCGGCCCTTGGGCCCTTCCGGCTGCCCAGAGAAGCCCTGACTGATGGGGCCCGTCCCCTCCCTGGGCTTTCTTCCAGGTTCCCGCAGGAGCTGAACATGGGCAAGGTCAGCGCTGAGATCATGTGGTTCCTCTTTGCACAGGACATGAAATACGCCCTGGAAGGTAAGACCAACTTTCATAGCCGCCTGCGGAAATGCTCAGCCACCACTTCCTTTTCCTCCTCCTCCTCCTCCTTGGAAAAATTCACTAGCAGAACCATGTGGCGAATAAGCCCCCCCGAGTTTTCCTCAAAGAGAAAAGCAGCTGGAGGCTCAAAGAGGAGGACTGGAAGGTGTTTCAGCAGGAACAGAGGTGCTCTTGGCAGCTGGGAACCACCGCCCGGCGGCTGCCCGCCCCCCTTTGGCTGGCCAAGGAACGGTTCCGTGGCCCGGACCCTCACTTGCTTGTGTGAAGAGAGCCAGGCCCCTTCCTACATTCTGGCGCCAGATATGCCAACCCCCCCCCCACACACACACACACACCCTCAGCCGCCCACCTCCTCCCATGGGCTGCACACAGGCTACGGGGCTCCTCCTCCGGGGCTCCATCTCAAGGCCCCTCCGTCTCGAGCCAGGGGGGTGCCAGTGAGACCCAGACGGCCTCCTGATGGCCCCTTGCCATCTCGGGTTCCCCGGGCACCTTCCCTCTGTGGCCGGCCGGCCGGCCCTCCCCAGAGGGGCTGACAGAGGTGTGGACGAGGTGGGCTGCTCCTCCTGCGCGTGGCGGAAATCCTGCTCTCAGAGCTCGCCGGGGAGGTAGCGCAACGCCGTGTCAGCAGAGTCTCCCGCTGCTCCTTCGGTCTCCCCTGGCGGGGCAGGGCAGGGCAGGGCAGAAGCACCGGAGCTGGGCGGGAGGAGCTTCCTTGCCCATGCGTGCTCCGTGTCTTGTCAAGAGATGTGCCGTGTTATTCGTCTGGACACAGCGATCCACCACAGCAAGGGCAGCTTGGCAGGTTGTCAGCGTGGGGCTCGACCCAGCCTTTGTGGTGAAGATGCTCTGAGGTGACGTCTCCAGAGAAGTCTTTGGGGCCGAAGGAGACGAGGAGGGGAGCGTGTGTATGTGCATTTTCGCCAGCCCTCCCAAAGAAGACCTGTCCCAGCCAGCCTCATGGCAGGCCAGAGGGGCCGGGAGCGGAGGCCGCCACCGCCCATAGGAAGCCGGTCAGGGTCAGCAGGATCTCTTCTCTTCCTCGGTTCTCGGACCCGCAGGACAGAGTGGGAGCTGCACTGGCCTTCTGCGCCCTCCGAGACCCAGCGTTCCTCCTTCCCCCACCTCCGGGGCCGACAGACTTCCATCTTGGGTGGGCTGTTGAGGCCCCCCAGACTTCTACTCCTGGGCGACTTGAACCTCCATGCAGAGGCGCCTGTTGCTGGGGCGGCCTTAAGAGTCCACAGGCGCCACGAGGCTGCCCATTGCCCTTTCCCAGTGGGTCCCTTCTCCTAGGCAGATGGCAGGTCCCACTTTGGACCAGATGTTCCCGCTTGGGCAGAGACAAGATGGCCTGAAGGTGGGGAGCCTGGAGTCTTCTGCCTTGCCGTGGTCGAATCATCCCCTGCTGAGATTCAGACTTCATACAACTGTGTTCCTCTGCCGGAAAAACGGACTCGTTAGAATGCCCCCCCCCCCGCAAAAACAGTGGGATCCAAATGATTTCCAGAATGTCTTTGGGGCATCCAGGCTGAAGCTCTCCACTGAGGCCAATTGGGAGTGATGGGGGGGCGGTGGTCGGCTGCCCGGTGTCCCCCCTCCCCCCCTCCATGGGTGATGCTGCAAAAGCATCCCTTCCATTGGCTGTTGTTTCGCTGAACAGCCCAAGATGTAGAAAGGCCAACCTCCCTTCTGGAGCCCAGGGTTCAAGCCCAAAGAGATCAGCCACCCTGTTCTGGCTTGAACCTTCTCTTCAGTGGAATTTGGACAAGGCCGAGTGGGGGAGAGAGACGGCGAGAGGGGGGCCCTGCAGCTGGCTCTCACCCTATTCAAATGGGACCTCCTTCTTCCATCCCCAGTTCTGCTGGTGTGGGGGGATGGGACTGGAGAGGGGAAAGGGGAAAGGAGTGGAGCAGCATCTGTGGCTCAGTGCAGGATCGGCGAGACTTTGGGTTTTCCACGACAGCTAAATTCTGTCTCTCAGACCCCATCAGGTTGGGAGCAGTTTCATGATTTAACTCAAGGTTAACCCAGGGGCTGAGCATCAGTTGCCAGCTTGCCAGCAGCAGCACTCAGCGCCCAGATTTCAGTAGCAGAATCCATCCCCCCCCCCCGCCTTCCAGCTGGGGCAGTGTCACATTTCAGGGAGACTTACAAAGGAAAGCAGCGCATCTCATTTACACACTTTCTGATCTCCTGCCTAAAATGACAGGGTGTTTTTAAAGCCTTCTCTCTCTCTCTCTGAAGGAGGGACTGCCAGCTTAAAAAGAGAATTGGCACAGGCAGGAAGGCTCTCCTCTGGCTCACCTTGAGAGCTCATCAGCCGGTCGGTCGGCTCCTTTCCTTCCAGGAGGCTTGAAATTGCCATTTGAACCGGGTTGCCACCTAGTCTGGGGACCAGAGCCCATCCCTGGGGGTTGGGGGTGGGGGAGACCCTCTTCAGGAGGAGCTCAGCGCCGCGGCGGTCCGTTTCCCTGGATAAAGCAACAGAAGGCATGGGGAATGGAATCGCAAGAGCAGGGTTTGTGTGGGTATGAACTGAGTTGTGGGGAGAGGGCAGTTGGTCTCCCCACCCACCACTGCCCAGCTTGGCTTGGCTTAGCTTGGCTTGGCTTGGCTTGGCTTGGCTTGGCTTGGCTTGGCTTGGCTTGGCTTGGCTGGCTTGAGCCTTCTCAGGCTGCCCGCGGTGTCTGCCAGCTCGCCAACCAAGCCCCTTTGCTGCCTGACGTCCAGACCCCGAAAGCCGTTCCCTGACGCTTTGTGGCATGAAGGCCTCTGGAAACCCAGCAGTTCTTCGAGGTGGATGTCCAGTGTGATTTATTTTGCCAGGTTTAACATGTGCTCCAGGACACTGTAGTGTTATTTACAGCTGCAGCTTTATTAAATATTTTACTTTTATTTTTTTCATGTTCCATTACAGAGCATGAAAAGCAGCGGTTATGCAAGAGCACGGATTATATGAATTTGCACTTCAAAGTGAAATGGTTTTATAATGAATATGTGCGTGATCTCCCCTCCTTCAGAGACGCTGTGCCTGAATACTCGCTGTAAGTCCAAAGGGTTGTGTGTGTTGGGGTGGGAGCGACACCTTCAAAGTGACAGAATTATGACACCAGGGATTTAGTGGGGGGGGGAAGAGAGAGAGAGAATGAAGCAGGCGTCTCCCGGAGTGTCTCTCCTGCTGTTGGGCTCGTTTTCTTTAAATATTCGTTGAGACCCTCCGTGAAGCCAGAGCCCCTTTGGAAGGAGACTCCCCCAGAACTGTGAGCGCCACCTAAACACCTTTTCCTTGACTTTTTTTTTCTGCAGTGAAGCTTGTTCAGAGCGGGA